CGTAAACCCAGGCCGACTACCCGACAAAACGGCCGAAAGACGAAGCCGCGCGCAGACCGACTTGCGTGGCAGGGCCCGGTCAGGTGGGGCTGGCGGGCGAGGGGCGCCCGCCGGAAGGCCTGTGTGCGGTTCGGGGGTGCGTGCGTCTGGCCGGCGCTGAAGGGGGGCCGTGTTGGCTTGCCCCCTGCCCCCGACACATGAGTTACTTGTTTCTGTTTTTGAACCTCTTGATCTCAGACGTCACTGGGAGTTTCAGACTGGTCCGGCACCTGCGTTTGCAGCGACAGCCCTGAATTTCCGTGGAAGTTAGAGCCTTCTACGAGTTGCCCAATTTCTAGCTTTCAGTTGATTCCCTTCCTGGGCGATAGACTAGAGCACTCTAATATTGATAACAGGATGACATTTTTTGAAGCTGATGGCTTGTGAAATTAAAAGTCAGCTGACAGAAAACTGGGCTGAGTCTTAGTATTTTCCTGTAAAGTGTTGTGATCTCGCCAGCTCTTTTCATGGTACTGATTAAAGTTCTTTTTCTTCTTTTTTTTTTTGTATCACTGAGACCTAGAAGGGCCGAGATCAGTTAGGGTAATACGCTCCAACAAGAACTGTTTCTTTTAAAATACTTTTGCATTGTGATTTTGGGCAAGAGATTCAATTCAAAGCCCAAATATTACATCATTGTAAATTGAAACGATTATCAGTATTTCAAGTCAATGAGTTGTAAAGTAGGTTAATTTGAAGAGTAGATACAAACACATTTCTAAATCACATTAAAAGGGAGCTCCAATTGTTAAGTGTTTGAGGGTTAAAATGGCAAGCAGGTGAAATTTCCAGCTAAGTTGTCTGAATGCAGGACTGATGTCAGAGTTTACGTGAGATGGTCATTGACCCAGGGAACTAGTCTTACACTAGCGATGAAAGAGATCGTTACTTCAGTATTGATCTGGGCAAACATTGCATTTCGGTAAGGGCCTGCTTTACAGTAAGACTCAGTCATGGTGTTTTGTTTCAGTTCTGAAGTTCTTGCCTCTATAGAACACATCATCCAAGAAGTAATCACGAGCTTGGCGAGAAATGAAGCACCTGCTTTCACAACAGACTACAGGTCCAGCTGGGAAAACATAAGGTGAGAGCATTTGCACTTCCCTTTACATGCTGTGTCTTTGTCACTACTCGAATGCATTCAAGAGAGCATTCTAGTGGGGCTTACTCTTTGTATTGCTTTTACCCTGGCAAACATGGCCGTAGGCACTTTGCAGAATGCATACCATCTCCTCGAGATAGAAACTTGAAGCAGGTATGCAGGGTAAGACAAAGGGAAGCCAGTGCGAGGGTCAAAAACACAGAGCACCGAGGGGTTGGAAGTCCAGGTGATGGCCCTGGAGGTCCTGCTCGGAAGGGCGCTGGGCTCAGCTTTGTGGCTTGGGAAGTTAACAAGCGGGGCGCTTGTCCACCCTACAAAAGGGAGCCTCTCGCTGAGGGAGCCACAGCCAGTTGTGACGCTGTAACCAAAAGAAGTGTATCCAGAGCATAAAGCACGTTTCAGAGGGCCTTACTGCCCCTACATTTCAGAGTGGCCAAGAAGGACAAAATCAGCCAGTAATCTGTCGGAGGTCTCTGACTTGTTATATCGGGTTTGCTTTCTTCATATCCTCAGCAGGTGGGGTCCTCCCACCAGACAGTGAAAACACCACCAGAAGAGTCTGTAGTCAGAGTAGCGTGGAGGCACCTTAGCCACTAACTGTCCTCCTTCATGATCGGTGTAAGTAACGTGAACTGGGACCTGGGCCGAAAGTGGACTCTCCAGCCTGGACTCAGGGGCTGCGGGCGTCTTCGCCTGGTGCCTGCTGCCACCTGCCGGCGAGCTCAGCAGTGCGCGAGCAGCAGTCGGAACCCCCAACACAGGATGAGGGGAAGGGGAAGAAGATGCTTCACAGCCTCACAGCCGCTTACATTGAGTTAACTAGTAACTGAGCAAACTACTAAAGGAGCAAAATCCTAACAAAATTGTGATATTTGAAAACACGGAACGCTGGAAGTTTTCCCAGGGGAAAATCATTGTATAGACACATCAGGGAAGTATTTCATTCATTTCTCTACTTTTTTCTAGCGTTTCTGCAAGTCGCAAAGCTCAGTCTGTCATTGCCCCTGGAGCCATCCAAGCCCACACGCAGGGTGACCCTGCAGCTCGGCGCTTACACGGGCAGGAAATGTGGACGGGCACGCGGTACAGGGGCGTTTGGCGGGCCGCGCAGGGCACGAAGCTGACCATGCTCCTTTTATCCCCTTAAACAAATGACAGGTTTGAAGAGTCCGTGGGCCTTCAGATGGTGTCTCACTGTACCATGAGAAAAATAAGAAGTGATTCACCAAAATCAGCTAAGAAATTTGGTACACTAATTTTTCTTTGTTTTTAGTAATAAATTACTTTCTGGCTTTAGTTGTTCCTGGTGAAACAATTTTACTTGTTTTTTAATAGACCACCTGTGGGTTTGAAATAAACCTATGGGATTTTGCATTGCCAGTAACCACAGGGGGAGATTCTAGTTCCAAAGAAAGATCTCAGATGCATGGTTCAGCGAACAGCTCTTCTCTGTTTTGATGGTGACAGTGCAAATCATTTTGTCGGATTCTTCAGACAGTTGTTGTTCTGCACTTCACATTGCTACTTTGGGGAAGATTTTTTTCCCTAATGTTGTGGCAAGCAGCTAGGGAGATTCAGCTTTTGATAGAAATATGTTTTGATTGCAGATGTGAAATGATGAGTAACTTGTTCATTACATCTTATTTTACAGCTTTAATTCTCAAAATATTGTCCATGATTTATAAATTAGCGCAGAGCAACACTTACGCAACCAAAAGGTAAATGCTTTGTTCCAGTGAATAGAACCTGCCTGAGAGCCAGTTAGATTCACTTTCTCCATAGGGCTTGAAAATGTTACATAAGAGAGACCCGGGTAACAAGTTACCTTCTTTGTGAATTGTGCTTTGCCCCATAAAGCTTTCTTCGTATAAAAGCACAGTACTTGTCACGGCAGGGAGCGTATGGGCATGTCTTACTTTATAGGGACGTGTATTACACGGACAGCCAGCTCTTCGGCAGCCAGACCGTTGTGGACAATATTATCGATGACATTTCTTGTATGTTAAAAGTGCCAAGGAGGAGTCTACATATAGTAAGTCACATTTGATACAAAATTTTTTTAAAGAGTTATTAATTTATGCATATAGATTTGGGGTACAGGCCAGAGGGGTGGTGGGTAAGAGGATTCACCAGAGACAGAGTGGGGAGCAGAACAGGCAGATTGACAAAGCACACTGCTGAGGGGAGCAGCAGGCAGGTCAGGAGAGGTCTGCTGTGCCAAGTGGGTCAGCTCTCTGCTGGGAATCGAACTCGTGCTGCAGTGGCTTCAGAGAGCTTCATAATGTGGCACTTTAACCCATGGCGCCACCAGCAAGAGCCCCCAAATTTTTATTTTAAAACAAAATCTTTAACATTGTAAGAAGCATAAATGCCTTCTGGTCCTTTGACACTTTCCGATACTCACTGTGTATTTAAAGATTCCATCTCGGTATAGTCCCTTAAATTAACCGAAACGTGACTTGGAAAGTATCTGTCATCCTAAGCATCCTATACTGAATCCTCACCCCAGCTCAAAGACACACACACACTTTAGACAGGTGAGCAGGAACAACAGCCCAGCATGAACTGGAGTAACAAGCCTCAGCCTGCCTACTCCTTCACAGCTGTCGACGTCCAAAGGCCTGATCGCGGGCGACCTGAGGTTCATGGAGGAGGACGGCACCCAAGTGAGCTGTCACGGCGGCGCCTCGGTGAGCAGCGCCCCTGCGCCCGGGCCCTCGGGCCCTTTGCTTCTGGAGCGTGTTTTCCCTGCTTTGCTATGGTTTGGCGCTTGGGGCTTTAAAAGGAAATTGAGGGATGAGCGCCTTGGGCTTGTGTATTCCTGGCTGCCAGCCTGGCCGCTTGTCAGATGTCGCAGTGAGCTAAACACACGCGACACGCGACACGCTCCTGTTAGCACGTGTGGCTGGGCTCAGGTGAGGGAGCCTTGGCCGTTTGGTGTGACTAGGATACAATCTTCATTCAGATTTTGGGGCTCAGGAACAAAGGTGCTCAGTGCTGAGCTGTTTGTGTGAAAAGCCCCCAGGCCACGCTAGTGCAGTGGCGAGCTGCGCCCGCTGCCCCGCGTGGAAAGGCGTCAGGAAGCAGAGCTACTGCTGCGCACTCCCTGATTTTGAAGCCCCATTTCCACAGAGTTCCCGGGAGAGAGAGTCTCACCTGCGAGCAAGTGGGTGGGGAGTGAGTGCTTTCTTACTGAGGAGTAGATTAAGAAGTGGAAGTAGATTTTGCAATAAAATGTAACTATGGCTGCGCTTGTTTTCTACTGTAAATAAAGCGTTTTTGTTTTGTTGACTTAGGCAGTTCCAGTGCCATCTAATATTCAAGGACTGCAGAGTATCCTTGGAGTGGGAAAATAACTTAGACTTCTAGAATGTTCATGCATGCATTGCTTTGGTAAGCTACGTCTTTGTAATGTGCAAGGAGCCAGTCAGAATACAGAGCACACTGTGGCTGCCCGGGGACCCCACCCCCAGTAAGAAGACAGATACCCCTACATACATCGTAGGCATCTTTTTTTTAATTTATTTTTTATTTTTGCATAGAAGAACTGGGTGCAAGTCAGAGGTGTGGGGGGTGAGAGGATTCCCCAGAGTCAGAGTGGGGAGCAGAATGGGCGGATCCACTGAGACCCACTGCTGCGGGGGCAGCGGGGAGACGGGAGGGGTCTGCCGCGCCCTGGGGGTCACCCCTGGCTGGGGATCAGACTCAGGCTGTTGTGGTTAAAATAAAATACTCTTGTCTTCAGTTTAGCAGCCTTAACTTCACAGATTTAATTACAGATGCAAAATTTGTATTAATTGTAGAAAAAGACGCCACATTTCAGCGACTACTAGATGACAACTTCTGCAACAAAATGTCCCCTTGCGTCATGGTCACGGTATGTGTCCTGCCTTTAGCACAGGTCCAAGCCCACCGCCCTCTTGTGATGGCCCTCTTCTGCTTTTAGAGACCCGTATAAAAGCTCATTTGCTTAATTAAGATCCTGCTGCATTATTCGAGCACAGGTGAGCACAGTGTCTGTAGCTCGGCTCACAGAAGCGTTGAGGAGAGTGCCCTGGAGAGGGGCCGCCGGGAGGGCGGCTCAGAAGGCCTGGCCGGTCCCAAAGAGCTGTCCTGATACAGTTGGACTGTTGGCGCTAAGAACAGTTTTTGAACTGAGAACCGGGCAGGCCAGGCCTCGTGTGGCGGGCAGCTTGCTAACCCATGCGGAAGGTGGCAGCGGAGAGATGCCCGGGCACCTGGCCATCTGCTGGAGCGGTCTCGGGGCAGCCAGGCGCAGCACCTCGGGGGAAAGGGCTCGTCAGCCAAGGCCGCAGGGCTCGGTGGCTGTGGATGTGAGAAGTGAGGTGATGACGCCGGGGTGCGGAGCCCCTCGCCAGCCGTGGGTAATGACTGCAGGACGTGGCCAGCGGCCACGCTGTCGGGGAAATGTTTAAATCTGTGTTACTGTTATTGAAGTGATGGTGGTTTACAACGCTGTGTGATTTAGGGGTACTCCCTCTTTAGATGTGTGTTGCCCCCCGTAAGCCACCTTAGTCACCGGCCCTCAGCCCCTGGCTCCCCTCCCTTCCCCGCTGGTAGTCTCAGTTCTGCCGTCCGAGTCCCGGGCTTCTCTGGCTCAGTTTCATGTCTTCCTTGGCTCTGTTTCTGCCATGGAGGAGATTGGAGAGTGGGCGCAGGAGGTGGCAGGGGGACACCCTGCTGGCGCCTGCCCAGTTTGGAGATGGAGGGACAGTGGAGATGGACTCGCGGCCTGAAGCCCCTGAGGCCCTACCTGAGCCCCGTGGGCTGTCTTCCAGCCTCAGGGGAGAAAGTGTGCCCTCTGGGCCGGCCGGTAGCGTCTCTGCCCAGCCCTTGGTGTCTGAAACCTGCCGCTGCTGGCACTTTGGAGACGTGGGCTGAAGAGACGCGGTGGCGTTGGCTATGGCTCAGCGTTTGGAGGGTCAGCCGCGCAGCCCTCGCTCTACCTGGGCTTTCTTGATGCTGCCTGCTATGCCTCGCCTGTCCACACATGGTGCTTTCGCGGTGTCCCCCACACTGGCTGCCACTCCCGCCATCAAAGACCTGGGCCCCGGGGGCGGGGGAGGGGGTGCTGGCCCAAGGGACCGCCTCCGGGAGGGAGCCGGGCAGAGAGTCAGGCCGGGAGGGGCCGCCTGCCCCAGCTGTGCGGGGTGCTGTCCCTCTGCCGGAGGAGAGTGGAAGCCCCTCCCTGTGTGCTCCGGGGCCGGCCTGCCCCCGCCACCCGCTCGTGGGTGTCTGCATCTGGGGCTGCGGTGGCCTGTTGAGTCGCAGCAGCCTGAGGGCGCGGTCACGGCCCACTTTGCTCATGGGGCGGGGCGCAAGAAGGTGCTTCCTGCTGTCCTGGGCTGGTCCGCACCAGGCCTCGGCTTCAGGTATCCCAGCGCCAGTTTCTGGCCTGCAGGCGTTTGTGTCCTGACTCCTGACAGCCCGCGAGACCGGATGCTGGCCCCTGGACCGCTCGTGGTCAGGAGCCCGGCTCAGGGACCGTGGCTGGCAGCCTCCCTGGCCTGCCTCGCCGAGGCGTCCGCCCTTTGCGCGCAGCACCATGCCACCCACGCTGCTGCTCCTGCTGCTCAGTGACTTCATGTGCTGTTGCACCACCTGGGTCTAAACGTAAGCCTGGCACTCTTCTGAGCGCCTTGGGGTAATTAAGTTACTCAGCCCTGGCAGGACCTGAGGCAGGAGAGCAGTGGGGGCAGTGCAGGCCCTCGGGGCAGCAGCGGCCACCCCACCCGCCGCCCTCAGGCCCCGGCCTCAGAGACCGGGCGGAGCCCTCGTTCTCCTGATAACCGTCCAGTGAACACCTCCACGTAGGGTTCCGTGGCTGGTCACTGCTGGGGCACTTCTGAGGCTCGTCTGAGTGAAGGCGCCACTGCGGGTGCCTCCTGGCTGTGCGCACTGACGTTTGCCAGCTGACAGCAGCCCCCCTCACTTCAGAGGGGGTATCGTGCTGAAATTACCAGGGGAGTAAGGTTACAGTTGCCTTCCTCTTGGACTTAGTGATTTCACTTTGCTTTTAGGGGAAAGGGGTGCCCGACCTGAACACGAGGCTTCTCGTCAGGAGGCTGTGGGACGCCTTCCACATCCCCGCCTTCGCGCTCGTGGATGCCGACCCTCACGGTGACCGCGGCCCCGGCGCCACGCAGCCATGAAGGATTTCAAAATAATACAATTAGATTAAATTTAGATTAATGATAATCATTTGAGGTGACTTGTAGCTATTTTTGCTTTATTCAGCAGAACTATATGTCTCTCATATAGTTGATATAATGTCCACAAAATAAGAAACTAGAGATCTTAGATATAATTGAGAGTCCACATTACCACACCTGTCTATACAAGGCTCGTTTTGAAGGTGGCTTTCTCTTCACAGGCATAGAAATCATGTGCATCTATAAGTATGGATCTGTGGTAAGTGGGCGACCGTCATTTCCCTTTTGCACTCAAGATAGTTCGGCTTCGTTGGGGAGACCCCCTGAGGCCGAGGGTGCCTGGCACTTCCAAGGGAGTCGCTGTCCTAGCCTGGGCCTCTCACGTCTGCGTCAACGACTCCCACTCCCAGCGTGACCCACGTAGCCGGGCAGAGTGGGACTGGCTGTGGGAGGAGGCATTGTCATTCTCACTGACCCGAAACCGGGGGACCCCAGAGTAACGACAGTCTGATTCCTGGGCTACTCTGAAAATGACAGAGAGCCTCGAATTCCGGACTCCCCAACTCCCCTTTCTACCGCCATGGGGAGAAATGGAAAGCCAATAAACGTGCACCCTCGGGGTCAGTCTCTTGTGCCCTTCGTCCATCCCGGCTCTCCGGTGAGGGGACAGCACCTCGCCTGCCCTGGGCACCTGCTGGTGAGGCAGAGCTCAGCCCTGCCAGGCAGGTGGGCAAGTTCATGTGGTGCTGAGTGCACCCCAAAGCAGACGGGAGAACAGTGGGGCCTGGGTCAGGCTGTGGGCTCCTTTGCCGTTAACATCCTTAAAAGCGATCACAAAAATGCTGCCTTCGCTGACCATCTGGCCAGCGAAGCTCCAGGTGTTTTTTCTTACCCCTGTGGGCTGTGGGACTGTGGCCAGGTTGCACATGGCCTTCCTAAGCAGGTAAATCAAGGGCGCTCTGCATTTGCGCCTTACCCATATGCCTTTGCTCTTCTTTTAGTCCATGTCCTTTGAAGCCCATCGCCTCACAGTTCCAGCTATCAGATGGCTCGGGCTCCTGCCTTCTGACATTAGAAGGTGAGCCTTCGGGTGGGACGGGCTTGCCCGTGGTGAGCACGTGTCCGGGTGGGCCTGAAAGGCCAGCGGGCTGGGGTTGGGGGGTTCAGGCGGCGTCTCCGGTGTTCAGAGTGACTCAGACTGTGTAACTGAACTCAGTTCACCAGTGTCTATTGTAACTACTCAGATACTTAAATCAACTTGGTTGATGGACCTTGAGCTACCTGGAAAACTACAATTTTTTTTTTAAAGATTTGTTTATGCATATAGAACTGGGGTACAAGCCAGAGGTGCAGGGAGGGTGAGAGGATTCCCCAGAGACAGGTGGATCCACCGTGAACCACACTACTGCGGGGAGCAGCGGGAAGACAGGAGAGGTCTGCCACGCCCTGTGGGTCACCTCCCTGACTGGGGATCGAACTTGCACTGAAGTGGCCACTGCCATCTTCATAGTGCTACGTTCCAGCCCACTGCGCCACCGGGGAGGGCCTGGAAAACTGTTTCTATGGTGCAAATATTTGGAAAATTTTTATACTTAGAAAGTATGAGATAATCTAATAATAATCATTGACAAAGTCATTTGCCATATGAATCTGTTTCATAGATTTAAAATTTTTAATTTCATTTAAAAATCTCATTTTAAGATTACTTAGTTTAGGAACCTAAATTTTGGCAGGTTTGATGCGTGTGTGTGTGTGTGTGTCTATGTATATATGTTCATTATATAGAAAAAAACATCACCTCAGATGAGCAGTTTGACCTTTAGATTATCTTCTGTGCATAGCCATAACTTTTCACAAAAATGGGATCTTACCCTAGTGCTATTTTGCAGCCTGCTCTTTCTCACAACACAAGGCGGCTGCTTCTCTCTATCAGTAAATGCATCTCTCGTCTGTGTTCCAGTATTGGCTATGCATTTACTTAGCCAGCCCCAAGGGGGACACTTGGGTGGTCCTGACAGCTTTGCTGGCCGTGGGGCCTGGGTCCCCAGAACCGTGGTGGGAGGGTGTGCGCCTTCTCACGGCACTGGCTGCCCTTTACTTTCCCTGGAGAGTAGGCGCCCACCTGCCCCTCGGGGAGGCCGCGGCTGCCCTGCACTCACCTGCCATGGCCACTTTACGTGTCTTTAATGGGCGCATGGGAAAGATCTCAGAGGTGTGCATTGGATTTCTCTAAGCAGTGGCGGAAGGGGCTTGTTCCAGAACACAGAGTGTTCTGTTGTTGCTTCTTACAAGTGAGGGTATGAAAGAAAGCAGATTTTGAGTGAATAAAGTTTCGTTCAATTTAATGTTTGTGTCATGTTAAAATCCCTTAGGAACTCTGTCTGCAGGTTAATTTCTAGCACAAATTCAGGACACATGATGTACCCATTCTGAGTGTATATCCAGTCCCAGAAGAAATCAGTATGGCAGCCACATAAACGTGACTTCTGGGGATCTGTCTGTCCTCCATGTCCTCACACCATCACCCCACCCAGGAGCTGCCCTGCAAGTGGTCATATTATGGGACATTGAAAACAAGGCTGTTGAAGCCAGAGCTCTCCGCCCACCGTGTTCTGCTTTTAAAACACTTAACGATTACATTCTCCTTCTTAAAATTTGAAACTTAATAGGTATGTGAGTGTGTGCATGCGCATGTGTAGGTGAAAAGTGACAGCCTGGCTTCCAAGGCCTGGAAAATACACAGTGAATTCGAATAGAGTTCTCTGGAAACTTAACCCCACGCAGGAGGGCGCACAGCTTCAGGAATGGGGGGCTGGAGGCGTTGTGGCCCTATCACCAAGCCACCGTCCACCTGCATGAGCTGGCACAGTGACCAGTGCCCTGTTAACCAGAGTCTTTCTGCTTGTCTGTCTTTCTGAGTGTGACTTGAAGGAAAGCAGCCAGGAACAGAATCACAATGATCTTGAAATTTTGCTGGCCTAGCACACTCAAGAGCCCCCAAATCATGGACTCAAAAAGTGAATCTGTAACTGATTTCCTTAGCTGTTACTTGAGTAGCCTGAAATAGCAAATACAAATAGTATGAAATAGTAAATATAAATGAGATATATGTGAGCTCCACATTAAAGTAACCCTGGCTTTTACTGATATTTTTCATGTTTTTTTCCCCCAGGTTAAATATACCTAAAGATACTTTAATTCCCTTGACAAAACGGGACCAGATGAAACTTGACAGTATCCTGAAGAGACCTTATCTTACCTGCCAACCATTTTGGAGAAAAGAAGTATGTTTGTTTTTAAAATTCAAGTATGGCTTGTTGTATTGTCTTTTACATTAATAGTGGCTGGCTGTTCACATGCTAATGCGCATGAAAGTACCCTCAAGATTTTATCTGACTAACAGGTTATATATTTGGCAGGTTACCCCCAAAGGATTTTGACCAGGATCATGTTCAAGTGTTGAATTCTGAATCTTAGTGGATAAGATCAGCAGGATGGAGCTGATGTGTTTTTGTCCTTATTGTTACAGACCGTTGTCTAAGCTGCAAGGGGCTTTTGGGGGGGTAAACGCCAGGGAAGGATGTTGGTTGTTTCTGGCTCTTGCAGGCACCCATACCAGATGCTCTGATATGTTAGCTATAGCAGCTCTAGAATGTTCTGGCTGATCCCAAAGGGTTTTGGAAAATAAAGTGAGTCAAGATTGAGTAGTTTATTGTGCTGACAGGCTGGAGCAAACGCCACTGCTGTGATGTATCTGCTTCTATTGACAGATGGAAATAATGGCAGACTCCAAAGTGAAGGCAGAGATCCAAGCCTTGGCCCGCCTCTCGTCGGATTATCTCTCCAGAGTCTACTTACCCAGCAAGCTCAAGTTTGGGGGGTGGATATAAGAACAGCAGAATGATTTGTGGTCACAAGAGACTTCCCATTGGGTTGTTCCCAGCGGTGGTGTTGCGGAAAGGATGTATGTTCTTAATCCTCTAGAGGTAATGTGCAATAAACCTCCCCTAACCATTATTACCACCAAAACAAATGCTATGCACTGCTTTTCTCTAAAAGGCTCCGTTTTTTCTTCTGTGAGCCCTGTTCTGGAGTCCATTAGTAAGGATATATGTTATTTGGACTTTTAAATTTTATCTGGAGACAAACTCATCAAAGTCTACAAAAATGTTATTTCTACAATGTAACTAACATTAAGACATGTAGCATCTTACTAGTAAAGAAGACTAATAGCCTAAAGTTGAGATGTTGTAAATTTATTTAGTGTCCAGAAATTTCTTCTTATGGTTTCTTTTGCCTTTATAGTATGGAGCCACGCCCCAGTTATTCATTGGTGAAATTGTGAATAAACATTTGGGCTATTTTGTCCTCAGTGCTCTGTTTATTCTGATTTCTGGAGCATATTATTATTATTAATTTGAAATTTTTCTCTAGGTTTTTATTAGTTCTCACCACAAGTCAAGTCATACCACTTCTCTAGTCTAGATGACAGTACAAAGAACTTAAGTTTTAAGATTTGTAGAGGTCTCAAATTTTAATCAAGCCCTTCTGTTACAGTAAAGATGATCTTTCCTGTTCAAGAACTATTTTAAATTTTCCTGAGATGAGCTTTATGACTGCACTATGGACTTTTAACTGCACTACAAAATTTCTTGTAATTCTAAGCAAGAATATGGATTTATCACAGAAATACAGGAAGACAGGCTTATTTTATTAAGATCAATGTTAAGTCTGAGAACACACGTGCCAGTCACGGCGACAGATTGTCTCATCGGCCCTTCCCAGAACTCGGGAGCTCAGAAGTCACGCGGCTGTGAGGCAAGGACAACGAGGGCGTCACTTGTTCAAAGCTGCCTCACAGCACAGGGACAGTCGTGCTGTCTGCCCTGGGAGCAGCGTCCGGCTCAGAGCGTAAGCCTCGAGTTCCTTGTTCACCTTGATTATGAATTTCGAGGTGACCGCGGCAGAGACCAGCCCGAGGGGCCTCCAGCCTTCACGACTGCACAGGTGCTGACCCCCGAGTCAGCCTGCTTCCAGGGCTGTGGTAGGATTAAATCATGTCCTGGTCAAAGTATATGCTGGTGAGGTGCTTACTGTGTGCCCGGTGTTTTGCTAGGTGTTTTGCAAACATTCATTTCATCCTCACAGAGTCCCGAGGTGCTCAGGGCTTTGCTTACAGTCCCCATGGCACAGAAGAGATGGCAGAGGTGTAGGGCGGCTGGGCGCCTTTCCCAGGGGAGGCCACATTCGACTAAACAGGAGCACAGGCCTCACACCCAGTCACACTCCAGACAGACATGGTGTGTCCAGACACCCCGCCCAGGAGAGGCCTGTGTCCACCAGGGGTGGACTTGAGCCTGGTGCCAGGCCTGTGATGGCAGCAATTACATTCTGTCACAGCAGAACATTCTGGTATTCTATTAGCCTGACTGACTTGTGAGACTGTCGAAACTGCTAAGAACTTCTAATCCATGGCAAATTTGCCTTGGCTTTGTATTGTGCAGGCCCCCTTAACAGCTGATAATGTCATTGAACTTTGACCAGTTTTGTAAAGGAGAAAATTATGATGTAGAAATGAATGACTAAGCCAAAATTGGCTGGGTTAGGATACACTGCCAACATGGAGAGGAATGAAAAATGTCCAACAGTGATTAAGTGGAAGTAGATTTGAAAGACACTAGTATGATCAATTTGGATAAAATCATGTTTATGGTCAGAAATCAATTTATTTAAAATGGTTTTCTCTGGGGGGATTCAAATGGAATATACTAATTTGCATTTATTAGAAATAGGAAAATTTGCTGTTAATAGCTACTTGGGAACCCTCTAGAATTCTAATTCTCAGGATTTGTTTCTACAAAGAATCACTAGATAGCCATGTGAGAGGGCAGCTGACAACAGACCGCCCCTTTGCCACCAGCTGCCCCCTTTACTTCATATTTCCATAAGTTTAACGGAGAGTGAACGTCAGGGTTGGAATCTGGCCATAACTGAAGTGAGTAACAATGGGTGGGGCAAAGGCGTTCAGGGGACCTCGGCTTTTCCTTAAGGGCTCAGTCATCCCTGCAAGATAAAAGCTGCATGTCTTCTCCCCAGGCTCAGGGGTATTTACTGTCATCGTAATGATGCCAAGTGATTTCAGAAGTCACAGTTACATGAGGAAAAGTATCATGTGTGTTATACAAAACAGGTAACAAGAAAAATACCCAGGATTTCTGTCTATATTATACTTCCCTTTAATGAGAGTCAGTTTGAATAGTCCAGTGGCGCTAAGAACAGCGGCTTTCAAAGCTGAGCCGTATGGGAATGGCTACTAAGAAACTTGTCTTTATAGCCAAATTTTCAGAACAGTTTCTTGTGAACTTCTCACCAGTGAAGTCATGTAAGGAGACATGAGTCTTGTTAAAAATAAGCCAACATCGCCCTCTGCTGGCAGAGACTCCACTCTCAGGTCCTTCCACTGGGTCCACTTTCTTGAAAATATTTTCAGGTCATTTTTTAAGAGAAGGGGCGGGAGAGTCTGAGATAGGTTAGAAGAGGTGGCAGGGACCTTTGTGTGAAATGAGCGCCCCTGGACTCTTGAGCATCGGCCCTGGAGCCCAGGCCACACTGAGTATGTGCATCTTTGCAGCAAGCAACTCAGAAGTCTGAAGCAACAGCTACAGACGTTTTAGTTAAAATGTTAAGATAATTGTTGATCCGGCTACCCCAATATAGATTATACTAGAAAGCTGGGTTCTTGGGCCTATTGAACTACCGAATCTGCATTTTAAAAATAAGAGCCCACGGAGTGTAAAGTTCCTTGTGGGTGGAATCAGACCACGCTGAGGAGCAAAGACGCTTCTGCAGTGTGTGTGCAGCAACCTCAAGAGAGCCCTTTCTCTCCTCTCCCTGTTAGAGGGAAGGACGTCCTAAAAGAACTCTGCAGAGTCTTGTGGACTCCATCCCTACTCCAGCTTTCTGGATTCCACCCCCTACTCCAGTGATTGGAAACTACAACTCCCAGCAGTACCAAGGAGAACTGCGAGGACCTAAGGACGGAGCTGAGCAGCATTCTGGGGATAAATAGGAGTTTTCCACTGTCACTCTGGAGAGGCAACGGTTCTCTCTCTGGAGCACCTGCTCTCAGCCCGTGTGACCGGGGCCAGCAGCATTAGTGTGGGGCTAGAGCCCAAGTTAGCGGCGCTGGTAAAGTATTCCAGCTACTTTGTATCTCTCTCTCTTTCCCTGGGTGGTTTCCTTTTCCTTTCTCCTTTTTGTAAATAAACCCATATCCCATTCGTGTGTGCCTGCAGAAAATTACATTTTGAGCCTGAGGGTGAGGCCCCACAGATAGGCTACCTTGTAACATCCCGACATCCCTGAAGGGAATGCCCGTGAGTGAACTGGTGCGTGCTGGCATTCCCGTGGGACGTGACACCTAGCCAGTCTCCCAGGAGGGTCACGTCAGTTGAACCCGGCAGCATGGCGAGTCTGGCAGCATTACCCCGCTTTCAGAGCAGAAGCTGCGGCCGGGCAGCTCTCCCCTCTCCTGTAGGCCGGGCAGGTGCCCACCTGGCCGGTTACCAGCACTCCGGGCGACGTTCTGTCCGCTTCTCGGAGAGTGGCCTTAGGCCTGAATAACTGGCGGGCCAGAATATTGCTAGACTTTCCGTTCACAAGCGAAACTAGCTAAGGAGCCTCCACCGACCCCTGAAGCAGATTAGCAAAGCGGTTGCTTAGCAACGTAACGCTATATCAACTTTCAACCAATCCTCAATCTACTGGTAGGAGGTCTTCCCGTCGGTGTCAATAGCGCTTCTGCGCATGTGCTGTGGCCTCGCGCGGGGCGGAGCCTTTTACTTCCTCCCCTGCTTTCCGGACGACCCCGGAAGTGATCTGGGAGCGCATGCGCAGTGCCTCCGCGATAAGTGGGACGGCTTCCTCGGTCCCTAAGAAACGTCGGGCCCCGGGATTCCTGTTGGCGCTGCTTCGCCTTCGCCTGCCTCTCGCCGGAGCCGAGTCACGAACTCCCGGGCCTCTGCCGTTCCCCGCCGCCGACCTCCCGGCGCGGCGCGACTCTCAGGTAAGCCCCGCGCCGCCGAGTGGGGCCCGCCGCGAGGTGCCGGCTGCGGGCCGAGCGTGGGGAGTGGCCCCTGGGGCCGACGTCAGAGCTGGAAGGCGCCCGCCGGGCCCCTCGGGTCTGGCTCCCTGGCTTCTTGCGGCGAGACTGAGGCGCGGGGCAGGGCCACGGTTGGTGGTCGCGCCTACCGCCTCTGCCCTTCGGCGCTGCGCGTCTGGCAACGCCCTGACTCGCGCTGCCCCCCCAGCCGTTCCCTGCTCCCCGCCAGCGGCTCTGCTGGGCCCCGGGCTCGGCCAGCGCAGGCCTTCGCGGCCCCTTCGTGTGACCGTCCGTGTCCCCGCCAGCGGTTCAGTGTGCATGTGGCCGTGTGCGCACACGCGCGCCCGCGCGCGCTCCCCCAACCCCAGGCGAGTGTCGTGCTGCCCTGAGCGGCCCTGCGCCGGTGTGGGCCCGCAGGGAGACGCGGCCGCAGACCCCCTGCAGCCTCCTCGGGCAGAGATGGGCCCAGAGAGACCCCCGGCCCGAGCGAGGCGGTGAAGGCGGGGGGCTGCCGTGAGGGGTGGGTGTGGGTGGCAGGCAGGCGAGCCTGGGGGCGGGGGTTCCTTTTTAGAATAAATGTGTCCAGCAGCCTCGTTGCAGGTTAGCTTTCCGTGAGCCGTTTGAAGACGTCTTGGGGTTCCAGGGTTTAATGCGGCTCTGCAAGCAGTTACCTTGCAGCAGTTTTAACCGTGCTGGTTGCCCTGTAGAGTCCTCAGGAGACAGCTTGAGGCGCGGGACCTAAGGTGCAGAGGGGTGCTCCAAGGCAGGGGCGCTGCTAGTTCTGCTCGGGGCAGAAAGGAAGCTGGCAGGGTCCATGCCGCTGAGGTGCCGGGATGAGGACAAGGTGAGGGGGCTGCCCAGGCGGGAGAGACACCGGCGCAGCCCAGCGCTCCCAGTGACCAGAGCAGCGGGGCCCTCGTAGGCTGATTAATAGGGAATGGCTCCTGCTCTTTCTCGAAGTTGCCTGGGGGCAGAAACGCCTCTTCCAGACCGTGCTGCGGAGTGGGAGGGAGGAACTGGCAGGTGCACTCCGGAGCAGCTGCTGGAGACCACTGGAGTCTGCCCCTGAAGTGGGCGTTTCTGCTCTTACAGGCTCGGGCTAGAAAACGCCTCAGGCCACACACTGGCATTCGTGGTAGCGGCATGCCCAGTACGCCAGAGTGTTCACACCGGCTGGCTGGCTGGCACACGCCCCTTGGCAAAGGCCCTTCCAGAGGGGCGGTGTGCGGCTCTTCTGGGCCTTGGGCGTCGCTGGTTTTTCACGAAGCTCAGCAGATGCAGGTGCTTCCCGAAGCCCCTGGCGCCCTCGCAAGTGCTACCCATACTGTCACCCTGCCGCTGGGCCCCTTCGGGAGAGGGAGCTGGCCAGTAAGCTTCCGGGGTCGGAAAGGTGGCGGCGACCTGTCGGTCGGCAGGTGACAGCTGCAGGCCTGCGGGGAGGGAGAACTGGGCACTGCGCTGCTGCCCCCCTGCACAGTGGCCCTCTGGCCGGGCAGCTGCGGAGAGGGCGTGGCGAGTCGCGCTTGCAGGGCAGGGAAGCCCCTGAGAGGGGGCACAGTCCCAGGGCATGGCGTGGGCCTGCGGTGTCCGAGAAGACACAGCCGCGGGGCCCTTGGCGGCAGGTGCTGGGCAGGCCATCACGGTGACCTCTCAGACTCCCGCCCTGCAGGTGCCGAGGCGCTGGCAGCAAGCTGCGCTTCCAGTAGCTTCCCAGGGAAACGCTGCCCTGTCAGGCTGGTGCGGGCCAGGCGGGAGCGCTGCTGGGGTCTGCGAGGCGCGCGGTGCGCAGCTCCCATCCAGCTCCGCCTAGGGAACGAGCACGCGGTCACGCTAGCAGTGACGACGAAGCCGGCAGCTCCCGCGCCGCCGTGAGGTGTGTGCTCGAGGGTGCCGGTCTCCCGCCGCCTACGCAGCTTGGTTGGTTTTAAAATAAAAGCAGAGCACCGCGCTGCCACCTCACATCCAGCTCTGTCCAGAAGTCGGCTCTCCCGATCAAGCCGTTTCAGCGCTGCCTTTCCCTCCTGGGACAGCCACCGTCACGCGGTCCCAGTGACAGTTTCGCCTTGCCACTTTAGGGCCAAGATGAGTCTGTTTGGCACGACCTCGGGCTTCGGGACCAGTGGGACCAGCATGTTTGGCAGCACGACGACCGACAACCACAACCCCATGAAGGTAAGCAGAGGCCTGCCGCGCCCCGCGGGTGCCGGCTCTGGGACCGTGGGCGCACAGTGGCCCCTGCACTGGGGTCCTGCGCCACCTGACTGCCCACTCGCGGGAATCGCCGCTGTTCTGGTTAAATTTGTCAGTTCCCAGGACCCAGCCTACAGCTGTTGAGTCGAATTTCGGGCTGCGTGAGCTGCGGAGCCTGCGCTCGGGAGAGCGGGGCTCCACGTGCCCCCCGGTGCTGCCCCTGCCCCATGCTGGGGTCTTCACTGCCGTAGTTATTGCTTCCCTCAAAGAAGGCCTGATTCAGCTAGTCCTCGAATACAAGGAAACATCTACCACGAAGCGGTTAGTGAGGAAGAAACCTGAGGCATTTAACCGCCCTTCCGCCCCTCAGGATATCGAAGTGACGTCCTCTCCCGACGACAGCATCGGCTGTCTGTCCTTCAGCCCTCCCACCTTGCCCGGCAACTTTCTCATCGCGGGATCCTGGGCTAACGACGTAAGTGCCCCCTGAGCCTGTGCGCGGGACCCTTTGGACTCCGTGCCCCTCCGGCGGGCAGAGCAGGCAGCGCGGGGGCTTGCAGGGCCTTCTAACAAAGCCAGCGCAGAGGGTGTGAGCCCCTCAGGACGGCAGGCGTCGCATGGTGTCGCGCTGACTTTGTTGGGGACGCACGAGGGCGCGCGGCACTGAGTGCCTGCTCGGGGCCGGTACCTTGCCGAGTGCAAGGTACTTGCCGAGTGCAGCGCCCACGGAGAGCGAGTGCTGACCGTGGTGGCAGGCGGAACTCCCGGCCCAGGCGCCCTGGAGGCGTTCTCAGGCCTGTTTTCCACTTCCAGCATTAGACATACGTAGCCCAAGTTCTGTGTGAACACGTACTGGCGTGTCAGAAAAGAGAGCAAAACAACATGTGCAGAAAGGAAGACTCAGAGCTCTGGAAGGGTGCCCCTGGAGGCCCAGGGGCCCAGTCTCAGCACTGTCAGCCTACAGCCTGAGCCTACCCCTAGTCAGGAGGGACCCCCAGGGCCAGCAGACCTCTCCTGTCTCCGCGCTGCTCCCTCAGCAGTGGGTTTCAGTCGATGCCTGTTCTGCTCCCCACTCTGTCTCTAGGGAGTCCTCTCACCCCGCCACCCTGTCCCCCCATCCCCGCACCTCTGGCTTACACCCCAGTTCTTGTACACAAGAAAAAAAAACCTGAAAGAAAGATTAAAAAGCAGTTCTAACTAGCAAAGGACATGGAAAGGCCGCTCACACCAGGAGTGTGAGTGCTGGCAGACGGGCCCATGCGGCCACCCTCCAGACCACACAGCGCTGTACAGGATAGTCTGTTCCAGCACATTGACAGTTTCAAAGGAGAGTGCTTGGCGCCAGCCCAGACAGACTGAGGCCTTACCTGCATTGCTGGCTGGTGTGTAAGCGGGCACAGCCCTCGGGGTAGTTGGGGATAGTATCCGAGATCTGGGGTTTAGACTTGAGTCGCTTGGGTGAAGGCTCCTGGGACGTGTGCTCTCAGTGAAGTGCTGCACAGGCGTCCTCTGAGTTAGCCTCTAAGGCAAGTATGACGTTGCGGCCCTGTGTCCACTCACCCGATGGTGCAGCTAGGAGGCTTCTTAGAGAACGAAATGCCTGGCCCGGGTCCTGCATCTGAGGTGCAAATCCTGCAGTCTGCGTAGCCTGACCTGGGATCTAGGCTAAGATCACCTGTTTCAAAACTCCTGCTCGTGAGTTAAAGAAACCTATCTCCAGTGGTGACGGGAACTCACGGTGGGCCTGTTGATGCCATTTCAGAAGTTTGGGGGAAAGTTCAAACTGCACAGAACGGGAGTGGGAGGTGGTCATGGTCGAGCAAGCACACTTTCTAAACCGTTTCTGAGAGGATCATTGATTCACCACTAAACTTGGCACAAGTGTGTTTACCGGCAGCTGGCACTGCAGCAGGGAGACGCGATCACAGAGGTGAAGCTACCGTCCAGCCTGGTTCCAAGACAGCAGGTGCACGCGGAAAGACAGAACACGAGCCTGTCGCTGTGGTTATCTGGTGGGACGAAGGCTGTTTCCATCCTCTTGTCACACTTCGTTAACTTTTATAAGCAAGAAAGATAAAGTTATTCTGAGGACAAAGTTAAGTTTCTCTGAGTGGTGATATCATTCCACTTCAGGAGACAGATAATCTCACAGGTGTGATGAAAAAACCATCTCTGGTTTTAGCGTGAACAACAGAAGTTTAGAAGTAGGCAAACAGCTTCCTGCGCAGACTTTTGCCTCGTCCTTGAGGTTAGGTCGTCAGGCAGGTGTGAGAAGCCCGCGGTCGCGTGGTGCCCCGTGTCCGAGGCAGGTCGGCATTAGCTTGTCCTCCGCTTACAGGTTCGCTGCTGGGAGGTCCAGGACAGCGGGCAGACTATCCCCAAGGCGCAGCAGATGCACACGGGGCCCGTGCTGGATGTCTGCTGGAGCGATGTGAGTCCGCGCGTCTTTCGTGGGAGACATTTGCGTGGGTTTTTTAATTCTCCTGTCTTCCCAGATTCTGAATATCAGCAATATGAGCAAATGTGTTCAGTTCATGTGCCTCTGAGTTTCTTCTTTCGTTTTGGTGATTGAGGAGCACATAACGAGGGGTCCTTTTGCAGAGAACCCCTCACCTCCACGCGCCCCCCCCCACACACACACACACAGGGAAGGTAAAGAACTGTTGGGCAGGAGACGGCAGCCGTAGCTGCAGCTGCAGCCAGCTCACCCCTCCGCAGAGGAGGAGCCAGAGAGGGGACGCCAGCACCTGTCCTCCTGGGGGCCGGACCAGCGGAAGCCAGAAAACAGCAGACCTGGCCGGCGGGCCAGGAGACGTCTCTCCAGGCGAAGGCAGCCAGCCTCAGGCCTCCCCAGCCATGTCTGTGTTTTCGGTCTGACTTAGAAACAGTAAAACGGAGCCTTTTTAGGCGTGACTGTCGGTTTTGAGAAACGCATCGAGGGGGGTCAACATGGCCCCGCCTGCGGCCTCCAGCCCAGCCCCAGACCCTGCCGCTGTTGCTGCTCCAATGACATCAAGGCCGCAGAACCCCGCAGCGTCCGCGTCTTGCACTGGGCTCGCTCCATCGCACCCGCCTGTCTCAGCGGTGTGTCCTCAGAGCCGCGGGCACCCCGCTGCCTGAGCGTCGCTCCACGCGCCCGTCCGCCAGCAGTGTGCCGGTTGCCCCGTTTCTGGCTGTTGTGAACAGCGCAGCTCTAGGCCTCCGTGTGCGGGGGCCTGTGACACGGCTTTCGCTGCCCTGGTGGCGAGCAGGTGTAGCTGGGACGCGCATTTTTAAGTTGCACTGTGGGCTCATGGGACTTTTTTTAACTTAAAATTAAGTGATTCTGCTTAGAAATTTTTTCCAGTCGTTTGAGTCAGTTATTTCCGTTGTAATCGGTGGCTGTGATAGGTTTCCTTTGTAAGGCATCTTTGTCGTTTGAAAATGTATTCCTGACCTGCCCGGGGGCATGAGCCTGAGCGCGCGTCTGTGACAGCAGTCTGGAAGTGGTCAGTTCCTGCAGGCAGAACTTCGTGTGCAAAAGTAACAATTTGGTAGCTAGCTTAAATACTTCTGACTTGTTTTGTCCTTCTGTTCTGACCAGTACTGGTCATGACTGTGGTTCCATACACAGTGGCAGGGAGTCAAGTTAAAATAGAGGAGTTGCCTTTCCTGAGTCGTGGCGTGGCGGCTGGTGTTTGCGGAGGGGTTGCAGCCCGGCTCCTCAGGCGCCTGCCCCGGCGGAGGGGAGCGTGTGGGCTGCGGGTTCTGGTATGGGGTACGGCAATCCGAGGGGCAGCAGGCGGGTGCGGGGGGGCGTGCAGAGAGGCTGGAGCTACAAGGAGCGCGAGCCAGGCGGAGCTTTTCGAGCACTGTCCCGGCCAGGCCAGGCCTGGGTTCAGGTTTGCCTGTCTCCGCTAGCTTTTGACTTTGCGGTTACTTCGTTACTGAAGTCAGCTCCTTCACTTGCAAAGTGACAGGGACACTGACAGTGTCCAATTCGGTGACCGTTACCAGGCACCTGCTGTGCGCCGAGCACTGGGATGTAGCGACGGTGGCACTATGCAAGGGGACCCTGTGCTCGGGCCACGGGGCGTCTTAGGACAGGTGGCTGAAGAAGGGCTCCCGGCAGTGACACGCTGTGACAGTTGTGAATCTGCCCAGAGGGACCAGCATGCTGCCTGTCATGGGGCGACACGACCTGCCCGAGGGGTGGAGCGACTAAGCCCAGGTGCAGGGCGTGGGGGCACGGAGCCAGGTGGCCTGGGGGGCCAGACCGAATTTGGTGAAGGTGTTCCAGCACCCGAGGACATGCTCCTGGCAGGGCCTCGGCCAGCAGGCCTTAGAGCGGCCGCTGGCAAGCACTGTCAGGTGCCCGCCTTCGCTAGGTGAGCACCTGGTCGGGTGCCCACCGGGGGCACCGTACTGTGCCCACGGGGCCAGTGGGCGCTTCCAGTGGGTGAGAGGCAGACACCGACCTGTGGGGCAGCTTCCAACCTGAGTGACAGTAACAGGGTCGCTGTCCTCTTTCATGGGCAGGACGGGCAGCTTCAAAGGGAAAGAGGATTTTCCTGGAGGAGGATGGTGGTGATTCTTTGTGAACTTTGGGGCCAGAAGGGAAAAGTGCAGATCAGGACTCGGTCTGACCGGTTGCCTGTTTTCATAAACAAGGTTTTATTGGAACAAACCACACTTGCTCATTTACATAACGTGTATTGCTGCGTTCAAACAGAATTGCAAGAGACCTTTCAGCCTGCAAAGAGTAGAAGTACTTAATGTATGACCTTTGAGAACAAAATCGTGCGTGCTGGGCTTGAGTCAGTACTTTCTCTCTTTGTAAATTACCTGTGACTGTCAGTAATTCACCGACCTGCTTTATGAGGTCTCTGAATTTTTTGAGCCCTTTAGATGATGACTGCCAGTTCTTAAGCTGTTCTATAGTTTATATTCTGTGTGGAACCAACAGCTCTTTGAAGCAGTAACTTTGCGGCATGCACTTTGGGGTGCTGCTCGACAGGGTGGAGGAGAAAGAGTGGCGACCACAAGTGCGCCTGTTTCCAGAGGGCTCCAGTGGCGTGACGGCGTGCACAGCGGCCTGGCAAGGCGCTTTCGGGTGTTCATCTTGTCTCTCTGTGACTTTCGTGAAGTCTTGACATTGATCGGAGTAAGACAGGTGTTTGTGGCCCTTGAAGTTACAGGTGCACATGAGGTATGTGAAGACTCCTGGGAGCTGCCAGGCTGCCTCTGAGGGAGTTGGGGTCAGCCATGAGGATATGCAGGGTCCCTGTGGGACTTCATGCCCTTCGAATTATTTTGCCCAGTTTACGTATTGTAGTATCTCTTGGAAAAACCGATAGTAAGAAATATAACTAAAAATATACCTTGTATATAATATGATCGCTTGTCTGTTTTGTTTTAGGATGGGAGCAAAGTATTTACAGCCTCATGCGATAAAACTGCCAAGATGTGGGACCTCAACAGTAACCAGGCCATACAGATCGCACAGGTAACAGGCCCCGCGAGACGAGGGCGGCCGACCTCCGGGGTGGTGGCCCCTGAGCTGTAAAGCTCTCTAGGGCAGGAGAATGCCGCTGACCTGCAGCGAGGGGAGACTACAGTGGTGTCAGGCGCCTCCGCGCGACACTGTCCTGGCCAGGGTCGCTGTGGGCGAGGGTGGCGTCCGCTGGGTCGTCGACGACTGTAAAACAGACAAGGGCCAGGACGTTGGCGTCCTTCCAGCACAGCTGTGCGTTGGCGGCTGCCCGCGGTGCCGGGCCACTCACTCACGCGGCAAGATGCTCCAGCGCCTGCCGGGCGGCAGGCACTGTTGTTAGGGGTAGAGGTTCAGCAGTCAGGGACCCCCACACGGAGCTCTCGTGTCTGCCCAGCCGCGGGCTGGCGGTGTGTGAAGGCAGACGCAGGAGGTGAGCGCCCAGAGACTGCCGCGCACGTGCTGGGCCCCCTCCTGGCCTCGGACGCACCCCTGAAGCCTCGGGGGCTCCCCGCAGTCGCTGCCGCGTCACTGGTGGCTCGCCTCAGCCTGAGACGGGGCCACGCACGCTGTGTCACAGCCTGGCTGCCCCGGGCTGGGCTTGTTTCATGATCTTCTCTGCGAGCGTCCAAACCTACAGCAGCTCTGCGTGCGGTCGCATTTGCCTTGACCTGTTTGGGTTCTGTCTTGTTGAAAGCACGAAGCTCCTGTTAAAACCATACATTGGATCAAAGCCCCGAACTACAGCTGCGTGATGACCGGGAGCTGGGACAAGACTCTGAAGGTGGGGCGTGTGGGGGGCTGGCTGCCGGGAGGGGGGCGTCACTCCCGCGCTGTCGGGGGCTACGCTCCAGGCGGCTTTACTTACCAGCTTCCCCCCTTCCAGTTTTGGGATACTCGATCTTCAAACCCCATGATGGTTTTGCAGCTCCCGGAGAGGTGCTACTGCGCTGACGTGGTAAGGAGCCTCTGTGCTCTCGTGTCTCAGGAGGGAGGCCTTTCCCGGCCACCCACGCCTTGCCACTGGGGTGATCTGTGAACCCCGCAGTGTGCTGACCCCGCGGGGCTCTTTCCCGCGGCCTCAGGCAGCTGCGCCGGCGACCTGGGCGCGGGTCAGGCTCTGTGGCTCCTCTCCCTCTGAGGAGTGTGCAGGTAGCTGGTCCCCCGCTGCCGTTTGCCGTGAGGTGACTAGGAGGCCCACGGGAACTGCGGCTGCACGGGGTGGGGGTGTCTGAAGGGGGCAGATATGAAGGGCGTTCTCTGTCGCATGCTCTCAAGCTGGTTTCACCGCTGCTCCGGTAATGCCCCTCTTCAGCGTTGGTCATGAGAAAACGAAGGCGCGAGGGTCTTGGCGCCAGCGCCCGGCTAGTGGAGAGAAGCGTTGCAGGGGCCCGGTGCTGGCAGGGGCAGCCCCGTGTGCGTGGAGTGGGCGCTGCTGGCGTGGGGGAAGCTGCCGGGCGCCCCCCGTAAGGGGCCCAGACCCTGGCCCGGTGGTGGGGTGCGCCGGGCGCTCGGGCCCGGACACGAGTGGGACGCACCTGGCGCTCGCGGCTGTGGTCACTGGGTTTCGTTCTGCTCCTCCACGTTTTGTGAATATGCACCTTTTTTTATTTAAAAAGAAAGTTGGAATAGATGAATGTTGTGTTTTCAATATGATTTCTCAAATTTCTCATGTTTCATGAGACATGTTACTGGATATTTGAACATGAAAAACTTCAGATTTACTTTTGATTAAAAAATTGACCTGACACCTTGGTATTCATTTAAAAAAAGTACTTCGTTTTAAGAAGGCCCCTGCTGTCCCGGCCCCTAGATCTACCCTATGGCCGTGGTGGCGACTGCGGAGCGGGGCCTGATCGTGTACCAGCTGGAGAACCAGCCCTCCGAGTTCAGGCGGGTGGAGTCCCCGCTGAAGCACCAGGTGAGTCGCGCCGCGGCGGCGCGGGCCTGTCTGGGGAGGGCGCACGTGGGGGGCCCTCTCGGGGGCTGCCAGCTGCTCAGTGAGTGGGCACGGGCACTCCGAGAGCCGCTCGGGCGTCTCCATGGGCGGCAGCGCGCTGCTCGACCCAGTCGGTCTCGGGGTCGCGGCCGCTGCAGACCAAAGCTCCCGGCTTCGACACAGCCCAGAGGACCAGGCTGCCTCCGGTTCTCGCACTCCCCTCGATCCTTCCGTCTTCACACTCTCACTTGCCCTTGAGCCTCCGTCGCAGCCCACCAGCCCGACTGCTGCTCAGAGCGGGGGTCGGGAATGTCCT